CTCTTGTGGTGCCCCACTTTGGATAATGGGCTTAAGTTTAATCCAGGAAAGTATAAGAGGTGCTAGATCACTGTCGTTTCTTATGATTGAATAATATTCCATTGTAAACATATACCAAATTTTGATAATCCACTCATGGATTGACGGGATACCTTCCAACTTCTGCTTCCAGTGCCTGAAACCTCCACTGTGACTCTTCTTATCCAGACAGGGCACTGGTACAGCCCTGACCTCAACAGTAGGCTGGCCTCTTGGGATTTGTCATCTAAGATGGCAGTTTTTCTCTCTAGGCCACACCATAGCCTATGCAGCCAGGATGGAGAATAGAACTTTTGGTTTTAGAAAACCTGCAGGACACTCCACATGGCTCCTGGGGCCCTGAGGGAGCTGATAAGCACTTCGTTTGTCTGTAGAAAACCCCTCCGAGGCCAATTCTGTGACCCAGGATGACAACAGCCATTTCTGTCCACTATTTTCTGGAAGGCTGGGCTGGAATATAAACATCATGGAAGGAATGACTGAGCATAGACCTACTTAAGCAGTTGTGATTTTCTTATTTGTTTAGCACAACAAAGAGGCTCCAGGAATAGTCAGCCTGCACCTATAGGTTATATCCCATAGAGATTTGTTGTTCTCAGATGACCTAAATGAAGCTGTCCTGATGAATGGGCCCTGGAGCAGTTGAGACCTGAGATTAGCTCTGATTGCCTCCAGTTCCAATATCTTGCTAAAATTCAATGTCTGCACATCTCAGCAAGCACCTAGGAACGTTCATGGGATCCCTTTGGTATGTTTGGGATCCCATCTTATTGGAGAAATTTCTTTAGCCAGTGAGCAATAACAAGTTTGATATCACATGATGGGTCAACCAGGCTTAATGGATCCTCTAAAAAAAATTCCAATCTGCTAGCAAGAGAGTTAGGGCCTACTACATTTCAGATGTGAGACAGGTGCACTTGCACTTTTCCTGGGCAGCAATCATTCTAGGCTGAAAGGAAAAATTATCTGTGTGGAAACTGATAATGCAACAGGGGCAGCAAGCTCTCTCTGCCTAATTGTGATCCCCAGGAAGACTCTGACGCTGTGCCACAGGAGTGTTCCTAGTAGCAAAATGGGAATAAATAGAGAGACTACCTTAGGAGAACTGGGCCTCCTTCATCTCTAGTGACCATCCAGCACAGACATTTCAGAAGTGGCATATTTGCTGCCCCCATCAGCAGAGATCAGACAATAACAATGGAGGTAGAGGTCAACAAAAGCAGTAGAGGAATTGTATAAGTATTAGAAATCAAAAGAATCTCCATAAAGTCCTATGACAAACTAATGATTCTGGCCCTGTAACTTGCTTTTTTCTCATTTTATTTTTGCAAATCATGCTTTATTATTATTTTATTCTTACTGTGTAGATCCACAATTTTTGTACATCATAAATCAGATTTCACTGCAAAACATCATCATTTTGGATATTACAAAGTCAGGCCCTGGTATCTCCCATTTCTGTTCCTGCCAAGCAGGAACGCTCCATCACAGTTTGACCTGGCTCCCACCCTCTCCCGGTCATATCATGGGGCATATCAGTGTCTCAGGGTTCTTGGAGCTTTCTGACAAGTAGGATCTCGCATAGAATCTGCACCTAAGCCATCCAAATCATGCTTGCAGGAAACAGTCTGAATGTTCAAATGTGGTTTCAAAGGCTCCAGTAATGGAGGAAGAATAAGAAAAAATGTTAGGAACCAAATGTCACCTGTCAGTCCATCCCCATCTTCACACAAGGATCATTCTCTATCTAAGAACTATGATTCATGCATACAAATTTCCTTGGCCTAGCTACATGCTGCCTTCCCTTCCTTCAGCTACTCAGTTCATCTGTGGCAAATAGAATAAGTTCCAGTGGCAGTAGCTATTTGCCTTCTAGATGGCTAGAAAAAAGTACAAAAGAGTAGTGACCCAGATCTGTCTTGTGTGGAGATGCTGGAGCCCTCACCCAATTGAATGAATGTGATATCAACAGCCAGCCTCAAAGTCAGCACTGTGTGCCTTTCCTCCTGTTGGGCTTTCCGCAAGGGCTAAGTTACTCCCTCACCATCCCTGAATGCATAGGCCATCTATTACTTCAGCTCTGTCAGCTTGGTTTCTTTGGACCATCTGCCTGCCTCACCTCACAAATGTGATTATCTACTAATCTGCAAGGAGACAGGAAAATATCTAGTCCTGCCTTCTTGGGGAATTTCTATTTCTCTTCATTTGACCCAAAACAGACATTGGTGAGGGTTTTACATATGTGAGTGGATATGAAAAGGCCAGTTTTTCACAAGTACTTTATTTGTCAGTTTTGTTTATCAAACAAGAGACTTAGAAGTCTCTGTCCTTTGACTACTGGTCTGTTCTGCTGAGAGGCCAGCCTGCTCCTCTTGCCTTTAACTTCCCTTCTGGTGTTACCTTCCATTCCGATTCATCCAGACACATGGCCCAGCCTTAGCTGAATTCTCCCATAGTAAGAAGGGAAGTAAAAAGAGGCAGAAATCCTATTCCAAGAAGGTTGAAGTCCTCCAAGGCCTGGCCTGTGATCAGCCCTGTCCTGGGGAGCATATGGCTGGCCCTGTGGAGCCTCTCTTTCTCTCTTCTGAAGACAGAAGGGACTGTCAATGCCTGATACCACTTTATTGAAATAAGTCTGGTTAAGCAGTTGAGTGGGCAAAAGATGTCACCAGTGGGTTTCAGAGGAACTTCCTCCAGCCACCCACTCATGACCAGCTATGAAGTAGGCAGAGCAGCAGGGAAGATGTGATGCCTTGTTCACAAAGAGACCTCAGTCTACAAAGAGAAAAACTGAAACCTAACCCAAACTAAATGTGATGTAACATAGAGTTTTAAGAAACATGGAGTTAGAATGATGTTGATTTGTTCTGCCTACATGTTTGCAAAGGAATTGGCTGCCAAAGAGGGTTTATTAATGTAATAAACAGTCACTGAATACCTACTGTGCACTGGGAAATGTTTAGATTGTTTCTCCCAGCTGACAAAAGTGATCCTTCAAAATCACACACGAGATCACCCCCATATTTAAAATTATTTTGTGGCACCCATAGCAATCAGTCCTTGGCACACACCTGCTGACTTCTTCAACCACCCTCCCACCAGTTCTCTATACACACCTTTTTTCCAGCTGTACCTTTTCCTGTCTTGGCTATTGTTGGCTGTTCTTACCCGTTGTTGCCTTGATTATCACTGTACCTACATAAATTGCCCTTCCCCACTCTTCTCTACCAGGTCAACCTAGATGGACCCTTCAGAACTTTTTAAAAACATGACTTTTTCCAAAATCCCAAACCCCACCTTGCTCCCCTTTCTGGGAAAGGTGCCTATATCCCACCCCCAGGGCTGCATACGCAGTGCAATTCTCCCTTCATCTGTCCCTCTCCTCTTGATTGTCATTTTCCTTAGGACAGGAACTGAGTGCTATGCCCCATGTCTGCCCCAGGGCCTGGTACAGAGGAGGTTCTAAGATGTGTTTGTGGAATGAGTAGCTATTGACTCCCATGTGGAGGTTGGGAGCTACAGGCAAGACATAGAGTATGCTTTCATGTTTGTGACAGAACAAAGAATACGTGTGCCGTGGCCATGACTACGAGAGGTTGGAGGCCTTCCAGCAGAGGATGCTCAGCGAGTTCCCACAGGCTGTCGCCATGCAGCACCCCAACCATCCTGACGATGCCATCCTACAGTGTGATGCCCAGTGTATCTTTCGACACTTGGTGGGGGGAGGAGGGCAGGGGCCCTGGGAGGTGAGGCCCACCTAGTCAGCTGCCCTCCTTTGTCAGTCATTACAGAGTACGTTACCCATAGTCCTAAACCTGAGTGTGTCCTCATCACTGAGCCCACGCTTAGCAAGGCACTCATGCCTCACAGAAGAGACACAGTACCATATCCCTTAGCCACAAGTGATCTAGTCATCATCAGGGCTTCGGGGAGACCTTTATCCCTCAGGCTGGCTGCTACTAGCAGCTTGGTCCCCACCCTGCCCTATAAGGGTCCTGTCCAGGCAGCCAGGAGCAATTACTGTGCCAGGTGATTTGGGGTCCCACCAGGGCTCTTGTCACAGGGATACCATCTGTGCTGTGCCCTGCTCTACTGCCATGTGCACTATTATTGTCTCTTGGTCAGGTGGACTGGGGCAGAGCCCTGAGGATGAGGGGACAGGGAAGAGATGGGGAGTTCCTGTGGTTTGGTGGCACTTGGAAGTCTGAGTGCAAACATTGGCCTGCTCCTCATCACCCCTCACACAGCTTCCTTAGAGACTGTGTGATAGTCGCCATGGTTGTGGCAAGCTTATTCCAGACAGGGGAGGGCAAGCAAACTCCCATCTGTTTCTCTCCACAAAGACTCCAAATAGTATTTTATTTAAAAATTATTTTGAGGTAAATATAGTTCACCTGCGGGGGCAGGCCCATGCCCTTGTAGCCTTCTCTCACTCCTATGGGATGGGTACCTGCATTCCCCTGACCTCTTTCCCCTTCTTTCTTAAAGGGGCACCACAGAACACTTGAGTATTAACATCTCACCTGGGCTGAGTGCTCATGAGACTCACTACTGGAGCAGGGAGGGGGAGGGGCAAATAGAGAAATTTGCCTAACTGCGCTTGGGTCTGATCTGCCCTTTTAGATGTTGCTGCCTCCACCGCTGCTGTCAGTAGGGAAGAGGGGCTATGGTGCTCCTTTGAGGAGATGACAGGGATCAGCCACTCAGGTCCATCTCTTCGGCAAGTCTCGGTTTCCCCTTCACTTCCTACCCAGACTTGCAGATCTATGCAGTGACGCCCATTCCAGATTATGTGGATGTTCTACAGATGGATAGGGTCCCAGATCGTGTCAAGAGCTTCTATCGCGTCAACAATGTGAGGAAGTTCCGGTACGACAGGCCTTTTCACAAAGGCCCCAAGGACAAGGAGAATGAATTCAAGGTGAACAAATCTAGGAAAGCAGGGGCAGTGCCCATAGCAAGTCCAGGGGCAAGCCTTACTTTCTTGGGAACACGCCACTATTTTATCCTGGGGGTAGGCAGGGTGTGGCAAAACTTGCCTAACTGCTGACACCTGCCTGTGCCTTCCCTGCAGAGCCTATGGATTGAGCGTACCACACTGACCCTGACCCACAGCTTACCTGGCATCTCTCGATGGTTCGAAGTGGAGAGGAGGGAACTGGTGAGACATGTCTCAGATGAGGCTGAGCTTCACAGCTGCTCCCTCAGCCCTGACTCTGGGGAACTTTCTCAAAGGACGGAAGAAAGAGAGAGCTTCGGCCACCTGCCTGGCCTAGGCTCCCACAGGTCAATCCTGTGCTGGGATCTTTGTGTACCTTCTCTCATTTAATCCACACAACACCCCTGGGCAGCAGGTATTTTTAACCTCCTAGTTTACAAATGAGAAAACTATTCTCTGAGATTCAGGAAGCCAGAGCTCTCTGATTTCAGAACTAGTGCTCTTCACTATTTGCTGTACTTCCAAGGGCCTATAAATCAGAAGAGAAAAGTAGAAAGGATGCAGAGAGTCTCAAGTCCACAGGAACAAGGAAGGGGAATCAACATCACAGGTCTCAGATCCCTGCTGTCAGGAACATGATGATGGGTTATCATTGTTCCTGGGATGACACTGTGTGCTGTATGCCCCCAGGTGGAGGTAAGCCCTCTAGAGAATGCCATCCAAGTAGTTGAGAATAAGAACCAGGAGCTACGGGCCCTGATCAGCCAGTATCAACATAAGCAAGTACATGGCAACATCAACCTGCTCAGCATGTGCCTGAACGGTGTCATTGATGCAGCTGTCAATGGAGGCATTGCGCGCTACCAGGAGGTGAGCTGGAGCCTTAGACTAAACCCACATAGGCAACTTGGCTAGAAAGGAAGTTCTCAGGCTTCTCATCTCAAGAATACAGCCTCTTTGGGTAGCCTTCCCAACTAGCCCTCTCTTGGCTAAGCTAACTTGAGATGGTCGTGGGACTGGGATGAGACCCAAAGCTCTCTACCACTCCTTATTTCTGTGGCACAGTTCTCTGGTGCGGACTTTTCTTCATTTTTATTCTCTGAACTCTGACAGATGGGTAATCCATCTGATTATGGGAGGATAAATGGCCTCCAAGAGGAACCCGGGAGCCCAGCCCTTCATGAGAAGTGAATTATAGGCTGGCTAAGAGGCTAGCCCCCACTCCCAGGCTACCAGCCCTGCCTGCCCTAACTAGGCCATCCAGTCTCCTTGAGGGACTGGGGCCAGCATTCAGGCTTAGATGACTTGGCCTTCAGTCCTTCTCAGATAGAAAACATACCTCTGATTGCTGGAGATTCAAACAAGCCAGGCTGGAGGTGCTGGTGTATGTACCTGTGAAGAGACAGCCTGGCTGCCTTTTAGGTGGCATCTTTGGACTCAAGTCTGCTGGGCCCCATCTAAGTAGTAGTCCTGGGAAGAGTCTTGCTGACTTGGCCTTTCCTTTCACAGGCATTCTTTGATAAAGATTATATCATCAAACACCCAGGAGATGCTGAGAAGATCACCCAGCTCAAGGAGCTCATGCAGGAGCAGGTATGTCTTGTAGGTCTTGGAGGCCAGCAGCCAGGTGGGAAAAGCCATGCACTGCAAGATGGTTATAGTTCTCAGGGGCTGCCCAGGGTTCAGAGAGTGGCCTTGTTTGTCATCCTGATAGGTCCATGTCCTTGGAGTCGGGCTAGCAGTTCATGAGAAGTTTGTGCACCCAGAAATGAGGCCTCTGCATAAGAAGCTGATTGATCAGTTCCAGATGATGCGGGCCAGTCTCTACCATGTAAGCTGATCCCTGTCCTACTGCAGTAGAACCAAGTGTCACTTCCTCCCGACCTGCACCACAGACCAAAGGAGAGTAGGAGGAAGAGGTGTGGAAGAGAGGCTGTCCCTGCCACAGAGGTGCAGGAAGCCAGGGTAGATCCTGTATCCAGGGGAGGGATGCTCAGAATCTTCTCACTCACTCCAAAAAGAAGAGTCAGATTTGATGGCAAAGAACATCTTTCAGGGCACTGTGCTAGTGAACAGAGGTTTCATATGTGGAGAAAAAGAGCTAAAGTATATGGCCCACATGTAGGGATCTCTTTGGAGATATTTTTCATCCCAAGAGCCTAAAGAGATAAAGCGTGGCCTGAGCCAACCTACTCTCTCCATCTCCCTCCTTCTCCTCTCTCCCTCACTATCTTTCTCTTCTTCTTTTCTCTGTTTTTACCCTTTCCCTCTAAGCTCCTCCCTCCTTTTTCCTCACAACTTCCTCCATCATGTTTGGCGACCCAGGCTTGTATCCGAAAAAGCCTAGGATGGGCAATACTTTCATGATGGCTGTTCTTAGAGGGGTCAAGCAGGTTCTGAGGCTGGACCAAGCCCCAGAAGGTCTTCCTAACTCTGGCCTGGCTCTTCAGCCTCCACAGCAGAGTTTGGCCCTACTGACACTCAGAGAGAGGACCTGTATTCTAGGACTAGTTTTCCTTGGCAGGGTCTTACATGGAATGCTGGCTGGTTGAGGATAGAGTTCAAGTGGTCTTGAGTCCCCTAATCACATACCCTCACCCCTTTTTCAACCATGGAGCTAATTCCAAATGTTTTCTAGAAATGCTTTCCTGCTAAACAGGCTGGCCCCCAAATCTCAAGGGTATGAACCCAATTACCTACTGCTATCTGGCACCAAAGCAAAGTTTCTCTTCTCATTAACCAGGACCACTGGATAGAAATAGTAGGGAGACAAGAAGTAGAGCTGTTCAGTCCTACACCAGGCTGTCAGGAATAAGAAATTTCCCTTTGGAGATGACCACCGGCCACAGAGGCCCTGGGGGAGGTTGGACCACTTGGACTCAGTGGGCCTGACCTGTTTGGAGCTGACCTGCTTTGTTCTGGCATGCTGAGGATTCTGGTCATCTCAGTCCTTCCAGGCTCCCCCGGGCAGGTCTCAGCCTATTCTTGCACAAGTGTGTACAGCATGAAAAGCAAAAAGAGAAAAAGAAGCTTGTCATAGTTTGAGAGGTGGGCACATTTTCCACCTTTCTAGGAAAGCCTGTAGAGCCTGAAATTTCTCATTTCTGTTATGATTCTCCCATGGTATTTTAAGGTGAAACATGCAGAGATGGTCTTTTATGTTTCCCCCTTAAAACTGAAGTGTCAATTTAGTGAAGAACTTGGGTAGTGTCACTGAATGTGATGAGTATTCCATTGCCTATCATTCTATGTATTTCCTGACATTATGGCTGGTCTCTGCTATGTGCAAACTTCCCTGTCACACCAGGTGGCCCAGGAAGGCTAGAACCTGGCCACTGCGGAGGTTCTCCAGCATCCCGGCAGCCAGGTCACTGCAGCAAAAAAAGCACAAAAACGCTTGCCTTCTTACATCAAGTTCTTCAGCGTGCACACGTGAAGGTGCCCTCTCTGTCCTCAGGAGCACATTTCAGCCCTCTGCATGCTTTGGAAGAAGGGGATGGAAAACCTTGTGCTTCTTCAGGATAAGCTCAGAAACATCCCCAGTGGACTTAGGGCCCCTGTTCACCACAGATTATGAAGGACTTGAGGACAGTTGCGCTTTGTGTCCTCAGTAAACAGGGACACAAACCAGCTTACTGTTACCTGGTAGGGTTTGAAATCAGAAGTTTCTGCCAAGAAGTCTATATACTTGATAATTTAATTACACTAAAATAGAACTGTGCTGTTTTTAATTACTTACATCAGGATTTTATGTCCCATCTTCCCAAAGACTATGTCACTGGCAACTTAACCTGGGTCACTAAGAGCTAGGCTATTTAGCAATCCAGTAAAACCCAGTCCCAATTCTATGTAAGAGGTACCCACTGACTGACAGCTGATAATAAGCTCTTCCTCTCCTCCTTCCCAGCTCTTGTTCTACTTATTCTGTAGTGAAAAAGCCTCTTAACGTACTCCTATGAGCTCAGACTTGTGGCTTTAGCTTATTCCATATGTGCTTCTATTAAGTGAACCTAGGGTCCTATGGCCTTTGGTCTGGGATCCAGGGCAATTAGGAGGAATTTTTAGTTGTAAAGAGGGCATTGCCCAAAAGAAATCAGCAGTTCAGATTCAGCCAACAGTATATGACTCTTTTTTATTTCTTTTATACTTTCGACCACTAGCCAGTTATTCCCTCCTACCTATTAATTACTTATTTATTCTTTACTCTCTATGAAGGGGCATTCATTTCTCAACAGGAGTTTCCAGGTTTGGATAAGCTAAGCCCTGCATGTTCAGGCACCAGCACCCCACGGGGAAATGTTCTGGCATCTCATAGCCCCTTGAGTCCTGAGAGCATCAAGATGACTCACCGGCACAGGTACGGCCTTAAGGCTCGGGAGGGTTCCCTCCAGAGAGGTAAGTCTAGATGTCAAGGGTCAGAGAAAGAAGTCCTAAAGAGTACTTGGTGTGTACTCACTCACATTCCCTCTTACCCACGCCATGCACACAGCAAACACTTACATAGCTCCTGCCATAGAACCCACACCCTGCATCCTGTCAGTCACTATCCTGGGTGACAGAAGCATATACATGGTATTGTGGGAACATGGAGGAGGGTGTAAGTTTTAAAGAATAAGTAGAAGTTTGCTAGGCAGAAAAGAGTTGAGGTGAGGAGGGTGATGGGGCAAGGTTCCAGGTAGAGTGACTGACACATGCAGAAGCCTCAAGATGTGAACAAGCCAGCCTGGTCAGCACTACAAATAAAGCCAAGTGGCTAGAGTGCAGATTCCAGGGTACAGAAGGGGGCCAGGACCAGCTCTGAATGGGCTTTGTTTATGCAGGCCTTTGGACTTGATCCCAAGGGAAATGAGGATCACCTATCAGTTTTAAGGAAGAAAACAGCATAGTGATGTAGACGTCAAGGTGTGGCTGCTCTGAACTCAGGAGTCCTGGTTTACCTGGGCTCAGCTGAGAGTACTCAAAACTACTAGGGCAGGAAGGTCCAGGTTGGGGGATTAGGCCATTGAGAGGAGCCCCTTACTTAGTTTTGTTTTCCAGTGTGAGCAGCAAATCAGCACAGAGTGGGCACTCAGTAAATAAGCAGGAACAGATGAACGAGAGGCTTCCTGGTATTGCTAGAGGAGAGCTGTTGGCAAGCCTGTGGCCACAAATGTGGAAGGAAACCCATAGATAGTTCACAACCTGCTATTCTGATAGCTCCCCCATACCAGGAAGACACCCATGACCTAGGAGCAGATCCCATCATGATGTGGGCGTTGGCTCAGACTACTACCCCATAGAAAGGGGGACCTGGGATCATCAACCTGATTTAGCATCTCTCTTTTATTCCTCCTGAGAAATTGCTAATGTCAGCAGACTGAGTGGCCATAAACCATTTAGCTCCCAGAGCAAGGGCTCCTGAGTAGCAGCTCAGAGCCACTCCAGGCCTCAGATGGGTACGAGCGTTGGCTAGGGAACCCTCCAAACTAGTGACTGAGACTGGGGACAACTGTTTCACACATTTCCCTCTGCTGTTCCCCTACCACCCAGATGGTTTCTCAGCCATGGACCTGACTCCTCCCTATTTCCCACTCTTGCTCACAGCCCCATGAACTTGATGGGCACAGGCCGCCATTCATCATCCTCTCTCTCCTCACATGCGTCTAGTGAAGCAGGCAACATGGTGATGCTAGGCGACAGCTCCATGGGCGAGGCTCCCGAGGACTTGTACCACCACATGCAGGTACCAGAGCTGTCGAGAGAGAAGGGGCCGGCACACCATGCCTCGAGGACTGACCTTTCTGTTGGAGGGTCTGGTATGAGGGCTGGTAACCCTGCCTAGTTCTGTAGTTCCTGAATTCAGAATACCCCTCACCAGAGCTAAATCCTGCCTTGCCTCCACACACTATCCTAAGTCTCACTTCCTAGCCCTTATTTCCCAAGAAGGAAATCCCGCTTTAGTCCTGGCTGTTCTCAGAGATCCCATGGGAAAGATCCTCTGCCAGACTGCCCTCTTGCCTGGCATTCCTTCTGGCTTAGTCCTGCTTCCTGCATGGGCACCAGAGCAGGGCCAGCCCAACAGCCCTGTTCCATGTGGGTGGTGTGGGTGGCCCCCTAGTGCCAGCCATTAGCCTGGCCTCCATCGGGATATAGCATCAGGCACTGGGTCTGGGCACTGCAGGGCATGAAGAAGCCAACTCTGCACCAACCCTACAGTCCTGGCCATTCAGACCTCTATCCTGCTGATTTTTCTCCCTTTGCAGCTCGCGTATCCCAACCCCAGGTACCAGGGCTCAGTCACCAACGTCTCTGTTCTGTCCTCGTCCCAGGCAAGCCCTTCTTCTTCCAGCCTGAGTTCCACTCACTCTGCACCATCCCAGATGATTACCTCTGCCCCTTCCAGTGCCCGAGGTAAGGATGGCAGGGTACTGCTTGCAGAAGGGAGAAGAGAGGACTTCGTCAACCCCACTCGTCCTCCTCTCATCTGTGGCTTTGTCTTTGAGAGCAGCCCTGTGACTTAGCAAATACTCATTTGTGCTTTTAGCACTAAGGACTTGAGGGTTCCTGCCTCCAGACCTCTCTGGCTGGCTTTAGACCCTGCTCTGAATAGTGGTTGCTGCTGCACTGCCACCAGATAGCCAGCCATTGCATCTCTACCTCAGTAAGAGGATACACAGTCCAGGAGAAAGCTCAGCACTTTCCCATTGAAATGTTTGTTAGAAAAAAGACCAAAATCAAAGCAAAAGGGAGTCTTTTGTCTTAAGGAATCAAGCATGATGACAGAGTATGAAAAGTAAATTTGAAGGCTAAAATTAACTCTGAAAAGTGTTATTCTAAAACAGTAACAACAATCAAAAATATTTTCTTCAGCTGGGAAAGGCTTAATCAGGAGAGATGACTCTGTAAAAACCTATTTACATTGTCAATTATTGCTTGGTTTCTTATTCAATTGAATAAATATTGTTCTTTGAGAGCCAGCATCTTTTTCACATTCTAATCCTAGTTCCTGCAGTGAAAGTAGAATCTGTCCTTTTAGATAGAAACATTTGCAATGGAGTAGAAATGAGATGTAATAAATAATAAGATCTAGTGTTTCTCAGGGTTGGCTATGCAGGATAGTGACAGTGGTTTGAGCTTGCCAGCCAGTCACTGGCTGTTACTTCCAGGCTTCAGAGGGAAAGGGGTCTCTTCATTATTCTCATTATCATGAAGACAAAGAAAAATAGCACAAATTTATGACATGGAAGATCATGAAAGAAAGAATTTCTCCAAAGCACACAAACCTATGAGGACCACAGTAGGAATGGAGAGAACAGGGGCAGTGTTGCATAGCGGAAAGGTACAGTGGCCAATGGGAAAAGCCTTGGCAGAGTGGAGGGAAGGGGGCTAATGTTGCAATAGGTGCAGCCACAGACTTTCACCTGAAGCATCCAGACCAACCCCTCATTTCCTATGGGGGAATAGGTCCAGTGTGGGGGGATTAAGGCCACGTAGCCAGTTCATGGCCAAGCTGTACAAGTCTTTACACTCACCAGCCCTCAGTTTGATGGCCATTTCAGTCTCTGTGTTGCCTTCCTATCATGGACTGTGGGATTCAGAAAAGGGGAGCTAGCATTTGGAAGCAGACATTTTTAGTGCTAAATAAGACAAATGAACCAAAAAAACTTGGTACATGCTGAGATTTGTCATTATGTGAAGGTGCATAGAAAAGGAACAGTGATTTGTGTTATAAGAAGGCACACTGAAAGATGGCTTTATGAATAAAAAGGAAGGAAACCCTGTGAAGTTAGCTGTGAATGCTGTAGAGGAGATCAGCCTTTACAGACTCTTAAGGTAAATGCTCCTCAATGAGGCTGCAGAAACAGATTTTGGAATCCCACCCGGTTTGTGGTTTTTTATGGTTTTTTTTTTTCCTAACCAGAAGCCTCTGTAAGATATGCTTAGCCATATCTAAGACTTTTTCTGGGTATTCTTGCTGAAGACAGATCTCTGAATCGTGAATGTTGATAAAGACAGAAGGCAACAAAGGATGGGCATTTTAACTCAGTTCTGTTCTGACATTGCTTAGACATTTCCTCTAGGCTGTGCATGGTACTCAGTGCCCTGGAGAGAACAAAGAGGAGGGACCAGCAGGCCTTGTTGTCAGGGACCTCACAGGCTGGCTATTACCACCTTTGTCCTTCCAGCTATCTATTTACAGATTTATTCACTGTCAAGCTTTTACTGAGTGTTCAGTGAGGAATCTGTATGGATCTTGCTTCAGGGGGCACCACCTCAGAGTTGAGAGAAATTATTTTCTCCTTTAGAAATAACATCTTTTTATTTCACAGGGCTTGTTTATCTGTTGCTGCATAATAACCCACCCCCCAAATTTTTGTCTTAAAAACAACAATTCATGATCATCTCTTATTGTTCTGTGGGTTTACAGGGCTCACTGAGCAATTCTCACTTGAAGTCAGATGTCACCTGGGACTGGAATTATCTAAAGGTTCAACTAGGCTAATGTCCAAGACGGCTCACTCTCATGCCTGGCAGTTGATTTTCACAGTCAGCTGGGAGCACAGCTGGGGCTGTCAACTTGAGCTCCTACATATGACCTTTCCATGTGGCTTAGGCTTCTCACAGCATGGTGGCTTCTCACCAGAGCAAACATTTCAAGAGACCCAGACAGAAGCTGCAAGGCTCCTTATTTCTCAGCCTTGGATGTCCCAGAAAGTCCTTTCTGCCACATTTCTATTAGCTAGTCAAGTCACTAAGGCCAACTCAGATACCAGGGAGGGGAATGAGACTCCACCTCATGTTGATAAGGAGTGGCATGTGTGTTTTGGGAGGGAAGGCATTGATGGTTGCCATTTTTGGCAACAGTGGCCATACTCTAGAATATCAACATAGAGAAAGGTTGAGAGAAGCCCCTTCCCTTTCTGGGGTAGACATTAAGTGCAAAAGTAAACAAAATTATTAAAATAGAACTGGGCCCAAAGCAGGGAATGGTGACAAGGTTGGAGGCAATAAGAAAGAAACGAAATCCCTCCTAGACCACAACATCCATACAATCCACATGCAGGCCCATCTGGAGAAAGCTGCAGGCCCAACATCCGTCAGGCACCAGAGTTAGGCCCTATGAGAGAAGATAGAAGGCTGTGTGTGACACAGCGTCATAGAGGAAGACTGATGTTTTCAAATAAATGAGGTAGATACAGTAGATGTACTCTGGGCAAAGAAGGGAGGGAGCAGTCCATTCTGGGGTTTGTTTGATATTGCTGGTAAGAGAAAAGCTTTCATGAAAAAGGTGATCTGGAGGGGAGTCCTTTGCATTGGAGTTGCTTCCCCTACTCCCAAGAGTGGTCCGAGACCAGTGGCCTTCCTTGCCATGCCAACTGATACTGTCTGCTGTGGTTCCCTTTGTTTTGGAAACCTCTGCAATGAATGGCCTGCAAGGCACGGTCTAAACTCTTGTAAGTCAGCAGCTCCCCCTTGTGGTCAAAAGGTTGACTGGGGCTAGGAAATGGGAATTTTGAATGATCCTCCTTGAATAACTCAGTCACATTGGGACTTACCCTCCCTGAGTTTTACCAGACTACAACTCAAGTAGTTCAAAAGTCCCATAAACATAGAAGCCCTTGTAGTCTTTAATGCTTTCATTAAAAGTAATCATCACTTCCTACCTTGGGACTGGCTGCCCAGGGCAGAGGATAATGGGAGAGAAGTTGAGGCAGTAGAGTTAGAAAACTTAATGGTAGCATAGAGCACCCCTTTGTTATAGCACTGGAGAGGCCACCATAACATGAATCCAAATCCTCAGCAGAAGCCCTAGGCCCTAGGGCCTGCAGGCTGCTGTCCTCCATCCTAGCTCCCTAACATGAATCAGGACATTGAGTACACAGATGGAGGTTGGCCTTTCGAGCCAGGCTATGAGCTTCATGAGGTGAGGGACTATGGACAGCCTGAGCAAGATAGTAGCCCAGGTTCCAAGAACATGCCCAGTATGGAAGGGGCATTAGATAGGAGTTTGGCATGACTGAGTTGGTGTAAAGGTGCTGTGTTTCTTTCTGTGTATGCTAAACGAAATGTAGCTCTGTCCAGAGCTGTGGCCTGCAAGGCTCAGGGAGCATCTGAGTTTCTTGCTAGGAATGTACTATATAAAGCAGTGAACTTAGGGGCTTTTTTCTTTTCTCTTAACATAGCCATTTTCTTGAAGTTGCCTAAGAGCACAAGGTTTAAAGGAGAACATAGAAACCAGTAAAATAATAAAATAATAGCAATTCAGGCCCAGTTTTTCCAAAAAATCATACTTTAACCATTCCCTTATCAGTGGAGGACATTTTTAAAGACTAGGTCTTAAAGCCAGCCCTGAGGTTTTACAAACGGGATCACTCAGACCAACTGTGGAAGAAGTTACATTACTGGTTATTTATTATGGTGACTCCTTCAAAGTACTTCAGCCTCATCTTCTTGGACTAAAATGAATACAAGAGGAATTTCTTAAGGATTCCTTGGGCAAGCTGGCTGAAGACCTTCTGTTAGCTGTGTCCTGACAGTGCTGTCACTGCACACTCAAAGGAAAGCCCTAGAGACCCTGAGTTTTAGGGACATAGAGCCCCTAGGAGCTGCAGATTCACCCTTCAGTTGGACCCCATAGGCTGGTCTCAACCATCCAGCTTCACTCATGGCATATCAGAGATGGGTTTCAACCACACGAGCCAACCAGAGGCATTGGAGTCCAGGTGACCCTTCCATGAGGGGTCCCATGCCCCTGGTAGTTTCTCATGGATATGCTGGTCTCTGGCACAATGAGCAGTGCACATTTGGAGGACCTTCCTAACTACCCATTCCCCAGGAAAGCCAGCAAGTTATTCTTACTGCTTCTGTGGAAGGTCTTATCAAGCACCATGGGTTGACACATTCTTGGACCTATATCTATGGCCTGAATCCATAGGGACCGGGTCACATCACACCTGGCATGGTCTGGCCTCCAAAACAGCCCCTAAAGGCAGGGGAAGTCACTGCAGAGGCCTCACAGGAGAAGAACATGAACCAAGTCAACTGAAGAGCTCGAGTTGAAGCCCCACAACTTCCAGATTAGTTCTATGACCCCTGAGTTTACTAAAGTTCACAGAGGGAAACCCTGTGAGCCACTCACTTATGTACAGGGCCCTGGGCCCTAGCCAGCCTGGCTTTAGGGCTGCAGTAGGACTGGCAGGAAGGTAGAGGCCAGGTGCGAGGGGCCTAGAAGATGGGAGAAGCCTCTGGAAAAAGGTGGTAGGGAGCCAGCTGAGAACAGGGCCAGTGGTGTTGGGAAAAGGTAAGTATGTAGAGACACAATGTGTCAACTAAGAACTGTTGGCTATGTCATCTGAGTGTCTCTGTCTCTATGTGATGGCTCCATTGCAAGCTGGCGTGTACCCATGCCTGGGCCCCCTGAGAGAGCCCAGCCTCCAGGCCACACTGACCCCCTGAGAGTACTGGGTGCAGAGGCCCCCTAGCCACCCTGCTTCAGTTCTCAATTCTCCTCACCCTCTGCTTCTGAGCACAGTGAGGGGCTCTGTCAGTGGGCCCACATCACCCCAGCCTGCAGAGTGTCTGCCTCAGCTGGGATACCAGTTGCAGCCCTTACCACCATCCAGCCACCAGGCTCTGCTTCATACCCCCTGTGCTTGCTAAGCTCATCCTCACCCCACTGCAAGGGAAACCTAGCCTGGTTCCCCAGCGCTGAGGCTGCTTGACTGCTGGGCCCTCCATCTGTGGCTTGTCATCTGTGCTTGATTGTTCTCACTTGGTTACAGGCTCTCCCTCTCTGCCAGATAAGTACCGCCATGCCCGGGAAATGATGTTGCTGCTGCCCACACACCGGGACCGTCCGAGCAGTGCCATGTATCCAGCAGCCATCCTGGAGAACGGACAGGTAGGAAACCCACCCTACTGACTGCCCTCTGCCACAAGTGTGTTGGCCTGTGCCTCCCTCATTGCGTTCACTGGGCCTTCTGCATTGCCCTACATGTCTCCCCCATTCTGCTGTAAGATCCCCCAGAAGACTGCTGTGCTCCTGGACGGGGAGTACAGTGAATCTGAGGACCAGCAATCCAGAGTACAGGTGTGGGTAGGATGGCATAAGGGTTGGAACCAGCATTGTTTGTGTGGCTATCTGTCCTTTTGGCCAGACTCCTGGACTCCTCATCCCTAGACAGTCTGGCAGAAGAAATTAGTTCTTCGTTGCCTGTCTCAAGAAGGCAGTGGTGTAGATGGGTCTGGAGGATGTCCTTCCTCCGTATGTGTGGGGGGGGCATCTTCATGGGGAAGCTCTGCCTCTTTTACTGATGCATCCACCTGAAGCCCCTCGCTACCCGCTGGGGCTGCTCTCTACACCAGCTCTCCAAATACTCTTCCTGGGAGCCTTGACCAAGAGCTTCAGAGATTAACTTCTTCCCCTGTGCAATCTGCCTCTGCCCTTCTATCAGAGTCCATAAAAGTCACCTCCAAGTGACTGTTACCTAGTCTCAGAGTGCCAGGGATTTCTCAGTGGTACCTCCCTGTGCCTGATTAGCCCTGCCAGACAGAGGAAATCGGTCTGCTTGGCAACCGCCCATCAAAACAGCAGGTCCTGACCATAACTCGACTTGGGTGCTGCACGTGCTGCCCTTTTCCCTACCCTCAGTGCTAACGTGGGCCTGTGCAAGGCCTCTCCAGGAGGCTAAACCTGTCAGTGCTCACGGGGGAAGGGGGAGTGGGGTCCCTAAATCCTTTCTGCCAGTGGATCTCCCTGGCCAGACAAAAGGTTGCAGACAGTTAGATGCTTTCAGGTACTTATGCCCTGTTTCTGGGACCCTGCACAAGACAGCCTGGGTCCCAACCCATCCCACTGGAGGATGTTGCCTCAAATGTTGTGCATGGAAGCACTCAGAACCAGACACCTGGATGGTCTTCCCCCAGGCTGACATGGAATTCTCAGCACATCTCAAGTGTGAGCCATACCGCTGGTTTGATTTCCCCCGTCTGATCTTGGACTGTCCTGGCTCCTGTGGCCCACAAGATGCCTCCCTGTTGTTTCCACCCTCTGTGATCTTTTTCTCCTTCCCTCAGCCACCAAATTTCCAACGGGCCTTGTTCCAGCAAGTGGTCGGAGCCTGCAAACCCTGCAGTGATCCCAATCTGTCTGTGGCTGAAAAAGGTATTGCTCCTCTTCTCCAGGTGACATTCCCCCATGTCTGTTCCCATCCTGAGTGTCTGATTCTTGTCCCTGAGCAAGTAAGTCGACACTACAAGACCAGCTGGCCAGGGCTGAGCCATACTCCAACACCTAGACCTGTCTGTCTGTCCAGAGTTCTGACCAGTTTCTGTGTTTGCTGTTTAACCCAGATCTGGCTTGATGCTGAGGTTTAGATCCTGTTAATTGTATCTCTCCCTCCCCAGGGCCTACGTCCAAAGAGGCCCCAGTTGCCACCTGCTCTGACCCCAACTTTATGGAAACTTGGGCCGCTATGTGCAAACTGTGGGCAACCACTTTCCTAGGCTCATCACAAGCAGCCCCAGAATTTAGCAGGTCCTGTAGCCCCTTTGAGCCCTCTCAACTTGGGCCCTCAGGGATCTCTCCCTTAAGCTCAGGTCAGGTCTGTGGCCAAACAAGCCCCAGGAGGAATGGGAAGAACATGCCAGTTTCCCAAAGTTAGGGTTCTCCAAATGAAACCCTGGGTGCTCCCAAAGGAGTCCAGACCACCTGTAGCTACCTACTCTGGCCAGCAGCTGCTGTGAGTCCATCTTCTACATTGCAAGGCCATTAACCATACCATGAGACTGAGCAGTCCTCCATAGAACTGAGGCTGTTTAGATGGTGGCATTTTATTCCTGCAAGCTGATTGAAGAACCAGACTCAGACCTATATGGCCCTGGCCTGAAGCCCTAGACACAGAGACCTGAGTTAATTTTAACACAGAGCAATACCTAAATAGGGACAGTGTTGAGCCTTCCTGCCACCCAGAATCTGGCCCCATATCAGCCCCTCTCCCCATAGGTTCTCCCCTCTCTTCCATCTTTTGGAGTTTAGGGCACACTCGGTTCCCACCAATAAAGCATGCTGTCCCCCATACCATGAGAACATGTCTCTCTATAGCTGTCAACATGTCATTGTACCTGCTCACCAACTGCTGTTTGCTGTCCCCACTGTTATTATTCCTCGCTTATCATGGAGGGCATACTTCTGTGTCCTCTTTAAGGAGACCAAACACTGGGTCCACAGCCTCAGTTCCTGGAAGGCATTGGTGCTGATGTTCAGCCACAAAGGGCCTGAAGATTCTGGTTGAAGATGCCTTCCTGGCCTCAAGGCTGTACATCTCAAAAACATGCAGCTTCTTGGACTCCTGCACTTGTGACCCAAAACAGAATGCACTTTTGGCCTGGAGGGCCAGAATACTTTCATTCACGTGAGATACAGCACAATCTCAGAACTAGCCAGGAGCCCACACGGGCTCAGAGCTTATATGGAGCTGGTGGCCAGACCAGGACCCTAAGCCAGCTGAACACAAAAAAACTTCAGGCCTCAGGCCAAGCTGCAACAAGGAGCTGGAAATGCCCACCTCAGTTGTTGGAGGGAAGGAGGTTTGTCTCAGAACAGAGGCTGAGCCCAGAGCAAGTCTGTCCTCACCACAAGGCCAGCACTTAGTGGGCAACAAATTAGACACTTGCCTAGTGGCAACAGATAGACCAGAGTGATAGCTACCTAACTCTCTACCTCCAGGGCAGGAACTATACATACTTGCCATCATTCTCTTGTCCCTCAGGGTCCTGAGTCCCATGAGGACTCCACGTCTCAGTTGCAGGTATCTCTCCTTGCCAGGCAGTGACTCCCAGACAAGGCAAGCCTACCCTCAGGGCCATGGCCTATGCACTGGGGCCCTCAGGCCAGTGCTGGACAGTTAACACTAGGAGAGAAAGGCAGCAGGGCACAGTGGGAATCGCTGATCACTCCTCTTCTCCTAGGATAAATCATTCTATCTTAGCCTTCCCAAGAGCCCCAGTGCACTTGTGCTGCATGGCAAAGATCCACTGGCCTCAGTGCTCACAGACATCAGGCTACAGCATGAGCTTGACAGCTTCTGGTTCACATGGAGTCGCTCAGGCAGACACCCTTTTGTAAACCATTACAGCCTTGCCAGCTCCCGTAGCATTCCCGTCCTAGAGTTCCCTTGGGCCCTTGTGGGTGAACTTTTGCAGCCCCACAATTCTTCTAGGGGCTAAGTGTGCATCTTAGATCCTGGGCTGTTGCAACCCCTTTGAGGAAGCTGCCCAGACCCATTTCCACCTTTTTATGGAGAAGGTGCTTTTCTTTGGGGGAACAGAGAGCATCAGTGCTGAGGACCATGCTGGATTTTGGAGAGAGTATGGGTGAGAATGGGCCTGTTCTTAGGGTTTCTCAGGCTCTCTGAGGAGACCATCTGGTGCTCATCATATTCAAAATTCTTTCTCCCTTCAGGCAACAGCTGAGTGCCTGCATGATGCCCAGTTGCTGCCATGCCCCTCCTTCTTGCCGCCAAGGCAGCAGCAGCCATGCCATGAAACTGAGCAATCCTCCTTAGAACTGAGATTGTTCAGATAGCGTGGCCCTATGTTCTGCTGCAAACCCGCACCAGTTCCTGAGCAATGAGAAGATGGATGTCACCACCTTATCCCTGGTCTGCCTTGGGTCTCAGGTCCTCTTAGCCACATCCTCCTCCAAGGCCAGACTCCAGCTCCTTCCCTTCCAGAGTCTCCAGTTCTCATATGGCTCTGGAATTTCCCACTCAGTGCCTGGACCAGGAAGAACCCAAACCCCAGCTCCTTCAGGCTCAATGTAGCTACCACTGCCTTAGAACAAAGCCTGTGGCTAGGCACCTGGATTGTGAGCTGCTTTCCTGCTGCTGATAGCCCAAAAGAGAGACTGGGCTTGCCTGGCTCCATCAGAAAAAGGACATATTTCTTCTCGCTGCTATTTGTTCTATAGGAGGCCAACAGGATTCACATGTTTCCTGCTGCTCCTGCAGAGTGGCACCCCTTGGTCCCCAAGGTCCAGCCATCTCTCCTCTCCTCTCCATTCCTGCAAAGTCTCTTACTCCCAAATGTGGCCAAGGGGTCAGTACTCAGGCACTGGACTCCTTCCTTAGCATAGAAGGGCACTGTGCCTCCCTTTGTCCTGGGCCCACTCTACCCTGCATCCATGGCATGTGGGTGCCAGGAACTGGGCTTCTCTAGATGACCAAAGGCACCCAGGGGCTCCACTGTCATGTCCCTCCTTCCTCTTGAGAAGCAGTGGGTCCAGCTAGACCTGGGCTGCAATTCTTGGGCTTTATACTTTCTTCCAGCAGGTGCATTGAACACCTGTCCTTGCCTAGAAAAACCTCCCATGCACCCCAAATCCAGCCAGTAGGCATAGGAGGAACAAGCAATGGGGCAAATTTGAACATTACCACAGGCCCTTTGTAGGGCCATCTCTTGTGGAGCTCCTGCCCACTCCCTGGCACTCCCTGGCCAGCTCTGGAAGGAAGCAGTCTCTACCACTCATCTTGCTCCCTACTTTTCCCACTGAGTCTGGGCAGTAGGAGAGTTCTGACTCTAGACTTTATTTAGCCACAGAACTCTATGGCCCATGGTTCCTCTGTATTCTCTTGGTCTCATCAGCCTGTTCCACTCTACTCTTCTGTCCTCTTCTGTTTTCTCTTCTCTTCCTGGCAAATCCCAGAGGCTGCAGATGTTTACTCCTTGCTTCACTTTCCTCAGCTGTTTCATCCTGAATACTCTTAGACATCGGCTCACTCTGTTGTCATCCTCTTAAGCAGTTTCAATCCCTGGCCACTCTCCCCTGTGGGCCACAGTACCTTGCTTGGCCAGTGTTTTTAGTTCCAGGGGCTGGCATTCCATTCTCGTGTGTGCTAGATACATAGTGCACACCTGAAGAATCCATAGACTGCACAACAGGCTTATCCCAGAGGGTGGCTCAAGAAGTAATCTCCCTTCATGCCATCTGTTTCCACCCTTAGTGGTGCCAGCAGCCCCCAGCAGCTGGAGCCTGGATAGCGGAGCCCGAGAGGCCCAGCCCTTCCCGTCTGTCCACATCCTGGCCCCCCTAGTGCCTCCCCGAAGCCTGCTACATGGTAAGAAGACCTCTAGTGGGTTCTCCAAATAGTCCCTGGTCTCAGACTCTGCTCAAGGGCCAGGGCAGCAGCTATCCAGGCTAAGAAGATGGGCCATTCTCTGGGATGACTCAGCCAAGGAAAAACATCCCACCACAGGAAGGATGCTGCTGGGCTTTGGGGTCAGTGAGGTTTCTGAGTACAGCAGGTTAGCTCAGGAAGGCCATCCCAAGCAGGGAAGCTGAAGACAGCGGAATTGACTGTGCCAGGCACACTGCTCACCAGCCTGTCATCGCCTAGCAGTGGGCTAGAGCTGCCCCTGTCTGCAGCCTTTTGTTCCACAGGCTCTGAAGCACTCGGCTTTCCTGACCTCTGTGTGGAGTAGGTTTCTTTTACCCCACCAACCTGTGTTTTGCAGAAGGCCAGTGTAAAGAGAGTTTTTCTTATAGGCCTTAATGCTGAGGGGTCCCCAGGCGACTCTTCCGATGCCTGCCTAGTTGGCCTAGCAAGATGGTGCTGGTATGCAGCCTGAGTAGGGCCCTCAGCTGAGGCTCTGGTTCTCTTCCCTTTGCAGGTCATTATTCCCTACACTTCGACGCCTTCCACCACCCTCTGGGTGATACCCCCCCGGCCCTCCCTGCCCGGACCCTGCGCAAGGTAATGTACTGAGGTGGCAGCCTGCCTGATGAGTCAATCTATCTCATCTGCTCTAGAATCACCCTCGGGGTCTACAAGAAGAACCTGAGCCCTCCCCTGCTCCTCTCCCCAGCCTGGCAGAAGCTGAGGGTGGCCAGAGCCACACTTGAGCTGCAGGTGACCAATGTATCCTGCAGCAAATGACATGGAGGCAGGGAGATCAGAGGGTCCTGGAAAGAGCAACACACTGTACCAAGGGTGTGTGGGCAGCGAGCACTGAGAAACCTGGGGGCTCTCTGCGAACACCACAGGGCATCAGTACACCATGTTCAATAGCTAAATAAGCATTCCTGTGGTGGATCATACAGCATTTAAAACTAGAATTCAGTAAAAGCAAGAAGCGTCAAGTACCAGAGCTTTATGAAAAACTCATGAGGGTAAAACTTAAATCCTGTTAATTTTTCTGCAAATTGGGAAAGACTGAGTCTACCACAGATTTTCACAGCAGAATACACTACTGTGGTCCATGGCCCACCAGGGTTTTTTCTGCCCCCATCCCTGACCCCAACTGGCCTGATGACCCAGCCCTTCTGTTAGTACCCCAGAGCCACAAACAGCAGCCTGGGACCTGGCCCCAGGGGGCACCAATGGCCAGCAGCCAGGACAAGGCCATTTTTGGCCATGGAAATGCATATGATTCTGGAGTTCTACTGGCTCGCTTGAGGGTCTGGGGAGGAGCTAGGGGCTTGCTGCTGAAGAAACAAGAAACGTACTGTTGATGAGGGTTATTTTAAAGTTCATTCATAAGCAGGTCTTCTGGTGGCAGGCCAGTCAGCCTCTCTGGAGAGAGGGATTCTAACATGCCCAAACTTTCCTTCACAGTCTCCTCTGCACCCCATCCCAGCCTCCCCCACAAGCCCCCAGTCAGGTCTGGACGGCAGCAACTCTACACTGTCCGGCAGTGCCAGCAGTGGTGTGTCCTCCTTGAGCGAGAGTAACTTTGGGCACTCCTCAGAGGCCCCACCTCGCACTGACACCATGGACTCCATGCCAAGCCAGGCCTGGAATGCTGACGAAGATCTTGAGCCACCCTACCTCCCTGTCCACTACAGCCTCTCCGAATCTGCTGTCCTGGATTCCATCAAGGCCCAACCATGCAGAAGCCACTCAGCCCCAGGGTGCGTCATCCCTCAAGACCCCCTGGACCCGCCTGCGCTGCCACCCAAGCCCTACCACCCCCGCCTGCCAGCCCTGGAGCATGATGAGGGGGTGCTGCTTCGCGAAGAGACTGAGAGGCCTCGGGGCCTGCACCGCAAGCCCTCCCTGCCTCCTGGGAGTACCAAGGAGGAGCAGGCCCGCATGGCCTGGGAGCACGGCCGAGGGGAACAGTGAGGGGCAGGGAGGCGGCTGGGACACCACCCTCAGCGAGCAGCTTGCCCAACCACTCCAGGTCTGAAAAGCAAGACCCGCAGGGAACTAGAGGGGCTTGGCACTCAGGAGAGAACCACCCCGAGTCTCCGTTCTACTGCCGTGAACTCATGTGTTGCCATGTACAGAGGCTGCAGCAGCATGAAGGGTTGTGGCTTCTCTTTTATTTCATTTTTTACATTTCCATTTTTATGGGTTTTCCTTTCTTTACGCAGTAGATGCTTTCTTCCTCCTGTAGTTCCAGACATGTGGAGCTATATGGAGATATTGCACAGACAGAATTACTTTGCCGCACTACAGGGCCCAGGAGCAGAAGCCCAGGCCCTCCCTCCAGGGAAGAGATGCACAGAATGGAAATTGCACTAGGGACATCTTCCTTTGCTGTGTGAACAGAAGAGTTCATGGTTGCATTCAGGGATTGCAAGGACCACATGTCACTGATGGATAAAGGGGCTACAAGCCGTTTTGCACAAATACCTGCCCACTCTTCCATCCAGGAGTGTGCAACTGAGGGGCTGGCCCGGCCAACCTGCTGGCTGAGGCATGTGACTGGCCTAACTGCATGCCCAGGGCACACTGCCAGGCTTCCATAGGCCGGCCATCTCCTCCTACTCCACTTTGGATTTTTCTCTCCATCACTTTGATTTCTGACCATTTGCTATTCTACTCTCGATACATCTCATACCCCCCAAGAGCCCCCATGGCAAATAGATATGCAAGGGTTATCTCCCACCCTCTGAGGTTTGAGTGGAGGTGCACAGCCAGAGGGGCTACCCTAGCCACCTTCCTCTTAGGGGGAGCTGAGCCCATTCCCATGTGGTAGAGAGCCTGGTTTGAAAATGAGGCTGTGGTGTGGCAGGGGCCGGAAATCCTCTAAGCTTTCAGAAGCATCCAGAATACCTGTCATCAGCTCCTGAATCAGGGATTTTCAGCACTACCTCTGAGCCATGGGGTTGGCTGCCCAGCCAGGCTTCCAGGGCCTGAGGACATGTGGTCAGGTTCAGCAAGCTCCTGTGTATAGAGTGTGGGAGGGAGCTTCTCCTTTTGGAAGCAGATAGCCATGCAGGTAGAATTGTTATCTCCCAACTGGCCAAGTATAGTGCCCCCCGCTCCAGGCCCACTGGGGACCACCACTCAGGGTTCGGGGCGGGCAGGAGGGCAGTTTCTCCAGCCTCCCCAGTCTGTCGGGCAAAGCGCAGTAGTGTCTTTATAGGAAACTCTTTCAGGTCAGGGCACTAATTTTCCTCTGTTTATTATTTGGGGGGATAGGGTGGGGTGGGTATAGTAGTATTTTACCAGGGTGCTTCTAAGTTACTTTAAAAAAAATATTGTCTGCAAAAATTTTTTTTCTTTTATTTGCTTGAGTTCACATCAGTGATGGTCACGGCTTTGATGGTCACAAGGCTGCCTTCTCCTTGTTGAGCAGGCATGTTGCTCCCCAGTTCCTCTTCTGCTGGCCTGCCTGACCTCCATGGTCAGGCCCTGGGCCCCAGCCCTTCATCCCTTATCCATAGCCCTTCTTTCCAAACAGAAAAGGCCATGGTCAGGGTGTTTTTCCCTTGTAAACAAACACTTGTTTAACAGAAATGCCAGCAAGTAACCTATTGGGAAAGGTGGAGGGCTGAATTACCTTTACGGTTTCTGGGGATTTATCACTAGTGTGGGTCCTTTCTGATATCAGGATCACTCCAGGCAAAGTGGAGCAGAAGGCTGCTGAGGGTGTGGGTGAGTCATGGCAGCCCCCAGCTCGAAGGGCAGGCCTGCTTCTAAGGCTGGATTCACTTGCAAGCTTCAGTCTCTGGACCATCTGGTGTTCACAGATGTTAGGGTTGGGGGCTAGCTTTGGATTTGATTCTTAGATAGGAGGGCATCTTTAGATTTTAAGGCTTCTGAACCTCAATTCCTGGACCAGGCAGTCACCACAGAACAGTTACCTTCTCCACTTGGTGGCACAGGAGATAGGGTGGGGAGGGGTGTGTGGGTTCAACTGGCCTCGTTTTGTGCAAGGTGAAACAGTATGTGTTTTCCCTCTCCATTTTCCCTAACTGGATAAAAAGGACACATTCGGAATCCCTTTTGTTAGAGAATCAGCCAGTCTGAGGGGAAATGGGAAGCCAGAGATGAGAATCCTTTGAAAAGATTGTAAAATACTGATTTTCATTCTTTCAAGCTTATTTGTAAATATCTATTTGAATGCTGTGTATTTGTACAGGAATTTGAGCAAAAAATGTATAGAGTGTGATGTCCAACTGGTATTCAGCCCTATAAATGTTTTTAACCTCTGGCATTCTGTGCTTATTTAAAACAAAAAAACTTCTAACCATTTCTTTTGTGTATTCATGTTTAAAGAAAAAGTGATTTAAAATGATCTTACCTGTACGAGAAAAGCAAAGTTAAAAAAAATTTGTACCAATGTCCCAAGAGGTATTTTACTGTATATATTGTGGTAGCATGTTCAAAATCCAAGACGTAATGTGAATTTTAGATGTAAATATCTGCCAGTTGACTTTTTCCCCCCTTTCCCGCTCCCTTGACTGCTGTGATGTGAATTAAAGATGAATACCTGATACTGATCCACTGAATTCACTGAATGGGAGCAATAGATGTGCCCCCCTCCCACCCTTGTCGCCGGGCTCCAAGCCCTCCTAGCCCCATAGCCAAGTCATGTCTGCACTGAGCAGAGCCAACCCTTTCCGCGTGAGGGGAGGCAGCTCAAGAGGAAACATCCTCCAGTGCTTGTGAGCTGACCCGCACACGGGACCCCACACAGTAAGCCCCTCAGCAGCCAACGGGCCTGAGGGATTCGCTGGGAAGGAGGGGGCGGGCCAGCCACGTCGGCCACGCTTCCAGAACTGGTGAGGAACTGGGGAGCTCTTCCCGGAGCGGGGCATAAACTCCCCAAGCCCCGCTGACCTCCCCACTCTGAAGCGATCCCAAAGCCTCGGCCGTAGCCCTGGCCGGGCGCTGCCCTCTGGAGTCTGGGGTGGCAACGCGGTTTGGCCGGCCTCGATCCCTTCCTCTAGCAGGTCCTGCAACCGCAGTCTGTCCGCCCGGTAGGTCTTCTCCTGCCAGCCCGTGCAAGGTGGGCTCTGGTCAGCCTGGGGTCCAGTAGGTGGGCGCCTGAGCCTCGCAGACGTTTCCCAAAGGAAACGCCTACGTGGTGGTTTGACAAAAGGAAAGAAACATCTGAGCCTTGCCTGGGGCGGCCCGCCCTCCCTGCCTACCCTATTGGGTCGCGGCTGACCCCAGAACTCCCGACCTGTGCCACCAGTTGGGGCCCTGGGCGAGGAGATCCGCACGGTTTTCGAGGCGGGCGCGGGGCCAAGGGCAAGGAGTACGCAGGACAACGCAGCAGATGCGGGGCGACAACCCCTCTGCCTCAACCAACACGGCTGCCCCTACCAAAGATGGCGGGCCGTACGGCTTCCGCAGCGGCTGTAGCCGCTTCCTGAGGCCGGCCCGGGTTCAATCAGCAGCGGACAACTGTCTAGGGCTGAGAAGGCATCTGCCAATGGGGAAGGGCAGCGTGGAGCCGCCCGTCTGGGCTCCGAGGCGCGTGGACCAATAGGGACGCAGCGTGTGGGAGGGCGCGCGGGGTCTCCCGCCAATGGGGAGCTACGGCGGGCGGCCGGGACCTGGAGGCGGCGCGGCGCGGCGGGTGCGGTTCAGTCGGTTGGTGGCAGCGGCGGCGAAGGAGGATGTGGGCTGCGCACGGGCTGGCGGTGGCGCTGGCTCTGAGCGTGCTGCCGGGCAGCCGGGCGCTTCGGCCGGGCGACTGCGAAGGTGCGCGGGGGCCAGGGACCGCGCCCAACCCATCAAAAGCACCTGACGGCCAGGCCCGGGCGGGCGGGGGCGGCGATGGTGACCGGTCCCGGCAGGGCCCGCTGGAGGAAGAGGGGCAGACGACGGGCCTAGAAAACATTGATCCCATGAAAAAAAGTTGAGATTAGATCATGCTGAAAATTTGGCCAGAAATCCACATCACGCCAGAGGTTTTGTTCCTTCTCACCACTGTCCAGAGGCTCCTGGGAGCGTCCCTGTCCCGGGTCGGGGACCTGAGGGCTGTCCGTGGGTACCGCGGTCTGTCCGTTGGGATCGCGAAGTGGCACCTCGGCGTTCGGTGTTGTATTTGGAAATGAGCAGCAGCAGCATCTTAATCGTTTTTCTCTTCATCCTCCAGTCTGTCCATTTATGAGGTCACAGTGAGTCCCGTCTCAAGGACACGTGTTCAGTTCGGGCTTAAACTTGATGAAAGGAGCAGGGAGAAGTTGTATATGAGTCAGTGGAGTGATGCTCTTTCCCCTTATACTCTGGGTGTACCAGACCCAGCAACCTAGAACTGGTTTCTGTCCAGCTGAGAAAAACCAGTGATGGAAAAACTTACCTCTAATGATTCATCTCTGTGTCTCCTATTAAAATTGGTAACAGAGTTCCTTCCTGGTGGATTAGGGACAATTTAGTAATTGCTGAGCATCCTCCCCTCTGTTTTCCAGTTTGTATTTCTTATCTGGGAAGATTTTACCAGGACCTCAAAGACAGAGATGTCACATTCTCACCAGGCACTATTGAAAAAGAACTTATAAAGTTCTGCCGTGAAGCAAGAGGCAAAGAGAATCGGTTGGTGAGTAGCTGACCCTCCCCAGCTAGCCCTGGCTCCTGTTTAACCCTCCACGTCTTGGGCTTCTTGATAAGAGGCCCTGCCCACCTCTCTATTCAGGAAGCCAGCTGCTCTGCCCATAAATTAATGTGGGACCGAATGTCCTTCCCCAAGTAGGCATGTATTTTGCAGTTGTGATGTTTTTTATCCTGTTAGTTTTTATTAAGCACCTGTGTGCTAGGCACTAGGGATACCTGGAGAGAGAAATGACAATCAGGCAGACAAACAATGCAATGGATGAGTGTTATGAAGAAAATAGACCAGGCTCATTGGTGTAGTGGGAAGATGCTGACTTATTGTGAGTGGT